ATTTTTATAAAATACGAACATCAAAAATAATGAATGTTAAAATGAACCTTAAACTGAGTTGCGGATATTCAACACACATTTAACACAAGCATCAGTAAGCTCTGGATTGACTAGCTGCCTCGATCCTATAATAAGGCAATTTGAAATATTTTAATGGGCTGCATGTCTTGGTCTTAAAACTTGACTTTCATTAATTTGGACTCTATTTGTGAAGTTTTATTTTTAATATACAGTACTAAGCTTTACTTTTCTTCTTTGCAACAAAGCAACAGCTTTCTTTTAAAACGCAGCTGTGAAATTTGTTTGCTACAATAGGTAACAACTTAAATAAACCAGAAGGGCAATATCTCTGACAGACAGCATAATATCTCTGTCTCCCGAATAATTCTGCTCCTCTGTATCAACTTCTTCTCTCTCTACCTCTCTGCATAAACACACACATATGCAATGTTTATAAAGTACATATTAAAGATAATGTAAGCACACATATAATACACAAACTACATCATGTGTTTGTGTGAAGAGTGCACAGAAAAACGGACATGGATCTAGAAAGGTGCCTGCATTTTGGGACTTTCCTGTAGGATACGGCAAGGGTGAATTTCACCATGAGTGCTTATATAGTACTTCAGAATTTGCCAATAAACTATTTCCTACAACACTTGTACATTTACAGGTTCTCTCACAAATTGCCTTCAAGCCCTCTAACAAGATCTGACGAATAAGTCAGTACTGCAACGTGAAAGCCATAAGAAAACATCTCTATGAGCTAAGGTTCCACCTATGCAGTAACAAATCCAAACAGTAGTCACAAATGCCCCTCGCTTCAATTGATTTGTTTCTAAATCTTTGTGATCCCTTCGTACAGCCTACTGATGGTGGAACAGCAGTTAAGCATGAGATCTAGTCAGTATACTTTAGGTATAATGTGAGAAAAGTCAGGTTGGTGGACATTTCATCAAGCTTAGAACAATTACTTACAAAACTTAATTTTTGATTAAAATCTCAGAACTTGGGAGCAGAACTTGGAAGTTTCAGTCCAGTAACTTCTCAAAGTTCTGAAATATTTTAAATGCAACTATATAATTCTGTGAAATTCACAAGGGCAAGCAAAATGACAGATCCTGTTGTTTACCACCAGTGTTTGGCATTCAAAAGTTTATTACAGTATTGCTCTACATGAAGGTGCCTCGTGAAGTCAAAGACAAATCTTTTGCTTCTCTGAAAAAAGATATACTAGATCCATATACTGTATTAACTAATGTAGTCACTGTCTAACAAGATATATCTTTTCAGATTTCACCCCCAGGAAGCAGTGGCTGAAATCCAATAGTAAGTCACAATGAGAGTAGGTTCACTGAACCAGTGGGCATTTGGTGAGTCAAGTCCCCCATAAATTCCATTGATTCAGTGGGCCAACTCAACTTACTACTGGATTTTAAACAATATACAATTAGGCCGCTAAGCCTCAGATCTTTTCTTCCTTTTTCCTTCTCTTTTGTCTTTTCAATTACTATTTCATTTCAGAGCTAACCAGCAGCCTTTTTCTCCCTAATGTCAGACCAAATGCATTCGGCTCACTAATTAAAATGCAATTTTAATTAAATATGCATTGTATTTTAATAATTTATGACCATTAATTATAAACTACTTTGGGGAGATGGTGATCCTATTCGATTGTATGCTCTTGTGTAAGTGTGCATTATCAGACATCCTATACGTTACTGCACTGAAGAGCTCCTACTATGTCTTAAACATTAAGTCAACAAAGGATGTTATAGTAGTGCCGCATTGTGGGTTGACATCCTTTCTAGACTTTTGTTCTCATACCAGTATTTTATTGTATCCATCCAAAACTGTAAACACACCAAATTAAACCATGCAGTTCTGCACCGTCTATACTGACTGGCAGTAGGTAGGACTTTCTCTTACAGCTACCAGAAGACATCAGGGATTGAAACTGGGACCTAGATAAAGTTGTCAGCCGGTGCTTGTTAAATTGAATTTAAATTAATTAAAAGCTTCATATCCAACCACCCCCCAGCTTTTTCAGATTCTAAGACTCTACAGACTCTCTTTTGCCCTGGGGAAGTCTTTGGGAGTTTCACAATGGGAGGGAAGCCTAGCCAAATACTGTATTTCAGACATATTGTCCCTACCAGGATTGAGACTGCCGCTGCTGAAGCAGCATTTTTTAACTATTGAAGCCTCTCCCGACTCCCAAAGCTCTCAAAAGCTTCCCCAGTGCAAAAGAGAATCCCAGAGAGCCTCTGAGTCTGGGGGGTGGGTAGGTACAAGAAACTTTTAATTAATTTAAATCAAATTTTCCTGGCACAAACTGATGGCATTAGCTCAGTGGTTTGTTTAGGTATCTGGCTGCAGAGCTAGAGGTTAGGAGAGGGATTCCCCACTGTGCTTCCTTGACAGAGACAAGACTCAGTGATCCATAAGATCCCTTCCATTTCTGCAGTTCTAACATAATGACAATGATTATGTCATTGGCTTCCACTGGTGTAAATTTATGCAACAGGGTTTTGCCCCAAAACATGTGCTCTATCACCCAGCTTTGACCCATCCCTGCTGTACAGCAAAGATCACTCACATACCTCATTGTTCAAACATGGGACAACAATTCTCAAATTCCTACCCTGGTTATCTACCCTCTCCCATATTCATCCCCAAAGCCTTGTCTTTAACTAATTCTCAGTTCCTTTTCCTGGCACAAACTGATGGCATTAGCTCAGTGGTTTGTTTAGGTATCTGGCTGCAGAGCTAGAAGTTAGGAGAGTGCATCCTTGACAGAGACAAGACTCAGTGATCCATAAGATCCCTTCCATTTCTGCAGTTCTAACATAATGACAATGATTATGTCATTGGCTTCCACTGGTGTAAATTTATGCAACAGGGTTTTGCCCCAAAACATGTGCTCTATCACCCAGCTTTGACCCATCCCTGCTGTACAGCAAAGATCACTCACATACCTCATTGTTCAAACATGGGACAACAATTCTCAAATTCCTACCCTGGTTATCTACCCTCTCCCATATTCATCCCCAAAGCCTTGTCTTTATCTTTAACTAATTCTCAGTTCTGTAAGACATCCAGAGAACAAAAGGTGATGGATTGCCATACAAAAATACTGTAATAGATTGGTCAATCAAATCCTTGGAATCTTGCTGGGTCTAATTCTGCTGCCTTTGTATCATGATATATTGTGTCTGCTTTTTTGCTTCTCCAACAACAACACTTTCAGCTGCTTAAAGGCATTTTGTTCCCAAACAGGACTGCCCATTCTAAGTTGCCTTAGACTGCCTGCAAAAATGACAGCTCTACTGTGTTTATGTCCCCCTTTTTTGCTTTCTACAGCATACTAGACTTCATAGGCATCTGGTCTCATATAGAAGAGCTCCTCTTATTTTCTTCTCTCTTCCTTCAAACCTCACCTCTTCTTTGAAGCCTTTGGCTCAATCCTTTATCTTGTATAGCAGCTAAGCTTTGATTTAAGCTGTTGTGTCTCTAGATATGTGTACTCCTTTTCTATTACACATATATCAGTTTATTCAATTCTTCTATTTTCTTTCGCACTGTCAAATGTCATGTTAAAACTCCTGTTGTGTGTTTTTGCTCCTCTGTAATGCACTACATACATTGATGCCACTAAAGGCTAAACCACATGTCACACAAAATACGTGTGCACGTGAGTCTTATTTCCAGCTCTTCTGTTCTAAGATGAACCATCATCATCATCTTTTCTCTTTCCCTACAGTAAATATATGCTGATGCAATCTGGATTAGGGCTATCACATATGTGCATGTAGGAATTCTAAACATGCCCCATTCCACTGTAGCTTAAAAAAAACCCAATGAGACTGATAGAGTTTGTTTCTAGCCTCTCTAGGGAACCATTTTAAGGAAAAGAAACAGTAGTGAGGGAAGATTCTAAGCATTTTCTTCCTATATATGACCAAAATATCTAAACTGAGGCTGTTGTGTTTGAGGTACTTCAGGAGAAGAGAAGACTTACTGGAAACAACAATACTGTGCTAGGAAAAATGAAAAGCAGTGGTAAAAGAAAAAGACCAAATATGAGATAGATTGACTCCATAACCTTGAGTTTGCAACAGCTGAGCGGGGTTGTAATGATATGACATTTTGGAAGTTAGCCATTCATAGGTTTACCAAAAGTTAGAAGTGTCTTGAAGGCACATAACAAGGACACCCATAGATGGCAGTCCAGTCCAGGAAAGAGCCCACATACAGAAGAAATAATCTCCGTCCTATCAACTGTGAATTACTAGACTGAGAAAGTGTGTTTTGCTGATACTCTCCCTCCTGGTTTATAGTCAGAACTCCGAACACTTTGTATGTAATGAGAAAATGATTTCACAAACTGCAGATGTTTTCCATTACAGCACAAGGGAGATGAGAAAAAGGGGAGGAGGGAAAGTGTACTTGGCATTACACCAAATGCATCATGTATCAAGACATTATTGTTTGAACCAGGGCACTGCATCATTGTAAAAAATGACAATTTTATCTTATTGGAGGTAGGGGGCAATTTGTGGCCTTATCACCATTTTCCAGAGCAGCCATAGCTTGCTGAAGTAGACAAGTAACTTCAATTTGAGCTCAGAAATATCCATCCAAGGTAGAGATAGAGAATGATATTGCTTGGTGTACATTTCTACCAACCCAGCTATTTTGCACTTTCCAGACTCATATGCAGACCAAGATGCAGTTATCCTTTGGGTCACTCACTGTCTTTTTTTTTTCTTTTTTGGCAACACTGTCCTTAGTTTTTAAAATGCATACAAAATATGTACATTGGGGAAAGGTGTGCAAAAGTGCATATATTCGGGGAACTGTGTGTGAAAATGAATGCACTAAAAAACCCCATCAGATTGATGTGGATATTTGATGGAATGGACTTATGGCTTGACACACGCAACATGACAAGGGATCATAAATAGGTGGACTCATTTGTCCCTATGCATACTAACAGGTTCCAGGACTTCTGGCACTGGGATCTTTCCTTTGGCATCCTCCTCCTCTGGCTCTTCATTTTCTTTATTGTCTGTCCAGGGGCCTGTGTCTTGAGCAGAGCAGGTGCTAATTAAGTCCGGCAAACTCGTAGATGGATAATTAAGAAAATCCTCTTCTGCTCCTTCCTGCAATGAAGGAAGTAAAAAAGTACTTGGCATTACTTGTTTTTGTCCACAGCTTCAATAATATGTGAACAGTCCTTATTAGGATCATCATATTATATTGACAGTGAGGGCAGACACTAGGAGAGATATAATATGTGAACAGTCCTTATTAGGATCATATTATACTGATAATGAGGGCAGACACTAGGAGAGATGTTACTGGTTTTTAGTACTTTAAGGCATTGTAGGCAAACAACATGATGCACATATTGTGTCTCTAAAGCTCCCACAGATCAGCTGGTTTCTCTGAGAAAGTGTGGCATGAACCAGCCCAAACAAACAACACAATCAACTCTGTGATTAGTGCAGCTTACTTCCATTTTCACAATAGCCATTAAAATGATTTATCTTGTAAATATATTTATTACATACCAATTATCTAACAGCTGTGCGTAGTTGCCTTCTTCTTTGGACTACGACTCAGGAGATCCAAGTTTAATCCCCGCTTAGCCGTGAAACTCAGTCGGTGACTCTGGGTCAGTCACGTTCTATCAGTCTGATCTACCTCACAGGGTTATTGTCAGGATAAAGTTAAAAGGAAGCCAATCATGTATTCCATCCTGAGCTAACTCAAGTAAAAACTGGACTTAAATGTGCCAAATTAAAATGTTTCAAAATAAACATTCTAAGATATTTAACATACTTTATTAATTTTTATATCTTCAGTTATTTGCTCATACTTTCTAAAGGTTTGCCTAACTATAACTCTGTACTTTTAAAAAATGCAGAATTAAATTTATTTACGAAGGCACAGCTGTACAATGGATCATTTTAAAATTATGGCACAGTTCAAAGCTAATAATTTACTAGAAGGGGGAAAAATAAACAAAAGACTTTCTGATAGGACAAGAAAACAGTTCATCACATAATGTGCAAGACACAGACATACTACCCATGAGTAAAGAGACAAGACCAACTTGCTTCATTACAAGCTATAACTTACTCAGAGTACTACTCTAAAAACGAAGAGCTGCATCTCTGGGGCTGGATATTGAATGAGAACAAACAGTAATTTTTTAAAAGGTGAAAATGACACACATGTGCCATTGTACCACCCAGTTCTTTCATCAACTTTTCCATTTAAATGATCCTTTAGAGGAAAAAGGATGTTTGAGGGCCTGATTTATCAGTTGCTGACTACAGTAGCAAGAGGCTACCCACATGTGTGAATGAACCAATGTCAAAGGTTGAACTTTCCATCAATCACAATGCTTGTGTATTAACAGAGTTCAGTTCACAAATTCAAGTCAAGAGTCAATTATCAAGCAAAAAGATCAAGTGCTGCACATGCATGGGTGCAGCAGTGCTTTGCATCTCTTGCCTCCAGGTGAAACTTCAGTTCACCTGAGAGAGATCCTGGCAAGGCTTTCTCCTAGAAGAATTCATGTCAGTTGTACAGGTGCAGGCGTGGCAAGACTCTTAAAAGAATTTCAGGAATAGAGAGGTTACGTACCCGTAACCATGGTTCTTCGAGTGGTACTCTGTGAATCCACACGAATGGGTTAAATTGCACCTGCGCAGGACTCTTTGGAATATTCTAGAGCTTAAACAATTGACTAATAGAATGTTTCTCCCGTGGTGCGCATGCTCCACCTGCCTGTGATACCTTGGTTCCTTTTTTGCCGCCGCTGTCATAGCTCTGAGAATTACAAAGCTGTAGACAACCCATGATGGACAGCGGGAGGTTGGGCCGGAACGTACCACTCGAAGAACCATGGTTACAGGTAAGTAACCTCTCTTTCTTCTTCGTGGTCTCTGTGAATGCACACAAATGGGTGACTAGCAAGCTCACTTACTGGAAGGAGGGCTGTCACAGTAAAACTGAAGTCAGCACAGCCCTTCCAAAACTTGCTCCCTTTTTGGCTCTGACATCCAGCCTGTAATGCGTCACAAAGGTCGATGGTGTAGACCAAGTAGCTGATCGACAAATGTCAGAGACTTCAATGCCACGCAGCCAGGCAGTCGAGGTAGCTACAGCTCTAGTGGAATGTGCCTTCAATACATCTGGCGGAGCCTTGCCAGCCAGCTCACAGGCTAAAGTGATGGCAGAAACTATCCATCTGGAAACTGTCTGAGGAGAGACCAGATAACCTTTCCGTGGACCATGGAAGCAAACAAACAGTCTAGGAGAATTGGGGAAGCCCTTAGTTCTAGAAATATAAAAGGCCAAAGCACGATGAACATCAAAGGAATGGAGCATGCGCTCAACATTGGAAGAGGGATTAGGAAACAATGTGGGGAGAATCAGAGGTTGATTAACATGGAAACTTGAAATCATTTTAGGAAGTAAGGACAAATTAGGATATAGGACGACCTTGTCCGGGTGAAACTGTATATATGAGGCATCAGACTGCAGGGCAGCCAACTCACTTGCTCTCCGTGCAGACGTAACATCCACAAGAAACAAAGTCTTAATCGAAAGAAGTTTTAGAGGAGCAGAAGCCATAGGTTCAAATGGTGGGTGCACAAGAGCCCGCAAAACAGTTTGAAGAGACCACTGAGGGATTGTAGGCTGTACAGCTGGACAAATGTTACACAGACCCTGAAGGAACCTCTTCAGGGTTGGGTGTGAGAATAAACAGGAAGCTTCTGAACCCACAGGCTAATAAGAAACAACAGCTGAAATATAAACCTTCAGTGTAGAATGTCGCAGCCCTCAATAAAACAGATAACGTCGGAAAGCAACAAGAATATCTAACAAAGCTAGAACTGCCAAACCACCTTTGGAAGCAGTGAATTTGGTAAAAACAGACCACTTATAAGAATATAATAACTTGGTTGAAGATTTTCTAGCTCTGTCCAACACTTCCTTTATACTGGGAGAATCCTCCATACTGTAAGATGGAGCAACTCGATGTCAGGGTGACAGACCTTGCCTCCGTCCTGAGTTAGGAGGAATGGTTGGGGAGGCAGCCTCAGGAAGTCGGATGCGATGGTCTTGAGGGTGGTAAACCATGGTTGCCTAGGCCACCATGGAGCTACCAGGATGCCATTGGCTCAAAACTGGCGGATCCTGACAGTCATCTGTTGAATGAGTGGGATGGGAGGAAAAGATAAAGAAGGACAGCATCCCAGGTCACCATGAAGGCATCACCCAAAGAGCCCGTGCCTCTCCCTGCTCGAGAGCAAAATTTGCTGCATTTTGTGTTGATCTGAGTGGCAAAGACATCGATGGCTGGTGTGCCCCACTTGTTGCAGATATGGGAAAACACAGTCGTCAAGAACCCATTCATGAGTTTGAGTGGTTAGGTGGCTCAGACGATCAGCCACATCATTCCTCTGTAGATACGTGGATGGCGACCGGAAATATGTGGTGATCGTAGCACCACTCCCAAAGGTGGATCGCTAAATACAGAAGGGACAAAGAGTGAGTGCCTCCATGACCAACCACAAGAGTATAGAAAGCACAAAGAGCCTTGATAACTGCCAACATCTCAAGATGGTTGATGTGTAGCAGATTCTCCGAGCTGGATCACAGGGCGTGGATCTTGTAAGAGCCACAATGTGCGCCCCAACCTGCTGGGCTGGTGTCCGTCATGATCTGGACTGTCAGCTGAAGGGGTCTGAAGGGTCAGCCAACTAGAAGTGGCACAAAAGTCCACCATATCAGTTGACTTGCTAACTCTGGAGTCACACATAGGCATTTGGCAAGGTTGTCTAACAGAGGATCGAACTGAGACAGGTATGCCTGTATAGAGTGTATCTTCAACTGAGTGTGAGGAGGAACAGACATAGTGGAAGCCATGAGGCCTAAGAGATGCTGTGTGTGATGAGCAGAAACCTTGGCGTATGGGCGGAATGGATGAATAGCCCGACCTAATTTGTGCATCCTTTCAGAAGGAAGGAAGACCCTGGCTCTGTTGGAATCCAGGCAAGCACCAATGTAGTCCATGGTCTGAGACGGCTGGAGATGGGATTTCACAAAGTTGACCTGGAGGCCTAGATCTGCCAGAGTCTGGAGAGCAAAGCTTGCATCCTCTTGTACCATGGTGTAAGAGCCAGTGACGATCAACCAGTCATCTATACACAGAAAGACCATTATATTATGTAGATGCAGGTAGGCTGCTACTGGAGCCAAACACTTCATGAAGGTCCTTGGGGCGGTGGCAAGCCCGAATGGCAGGGCGCAGAATTGGTATGCTGACTCCATGAAGACGAAGTGGAGATATTTGCAATGATGCTCGTGAATGGAAATATGAAAGGAAGCATCCTGTAAATCTATCACCACAAACTAATCACCTGGAGAAAGGAGTGGAATGACTGACTCTTAAGGTGACCTTTTGGAAATGCCTTGGATGAAGGTAAGTATTGAGTAGCCTGAGATTGGTCACAGTCCACCGTCCTTCTTGGGAACCATAAAATAGTGGGAATAGAAGCCATCTAGTGCTTCTTGAGAATAAACATGTTGAATAGCATGCTTCTGGAGAAGAACAGAAACTTTGTTTTCTCGATGCTGACATTGAGGTGGTGAAGGCGATGGAGATTATCCGGAAGGAGAGGCATAGACATATCACACTCTCTTGGACCTGACTTAATTGCCGGTGTTGTATAAGGGATCAAAATTATCCCCATGATATTAACGTTGCCCACCATGCTGATCAACCTCTACACAAAAGGGGCTCCTCATACTCCGTGAAAGTATATCGTTGAGACGGACATGGAAGAAGTATGACCTCCCGATGCTGAGGAAGCTGTCGGCCTGAAGAAATATGCTGACGTTTCACCAGACATTTACGAGGAGGGGATTGCTGTGGTGACACCTCCGAGTTCGACAGTTGAATCACTGTTGCCCACCTGATTGACATAGGGCTCAAATGGGCCAAGGCCGGGCTGGAGATTGCATTACCCTCAGAATGGCCATGACTTGGACACAGGCTTGGAACTGATACCGAAGCCTGCATCTGCGGTGGTGGTACAGAGCCATCCCTTTCAGAAAGTAAGTCAGGATCAGAAAGCTCCCTGGATGATTCCTCAAGTATCAGTGATGGCAGGGAAACTCGAACTGGAAGGAGTTCCCGAGGTTGAAAAGATTCAGATGCTTAACCACCTCCTTCTTTTTCTTGGGGTCTTTAATAGATGGTGATTTCGACATCAGTGTCTATATAGATGCCAATGACTTCTTCAGCTTGGACGCCTTCAAAGAAGCTCTTGAAGAAAGGGCAGCAGGAGCTGGCGAGGCAGCGGGTTCAGGACGAGGAGTGGGAGGAGCAAGAGTCACGGTAGGTTCTATGGCTGCCGGGCTTGAGTGTGTTAACAATTTCCCCCAAAGATACGAGTGGAGCCGCTGTAAGTGGAGCTTAAATGCGGGCATGGTTAACTTTTTACACTCCGAACAGGAGTGGGTCTGGTGTCTTTCCCCCAAACAAAATAAACAGCAGTCGTGGCCATCCATGAAGGGGATCTTATTGGCACACGACATACAGCATTTGAAAGGGCCTGATGAGGCCATAAAATTTGGCGGGAGCAGGTGGAAAGAGGGAAAGGGAAAAAAGGGAAGAACTCACAGGAAACGATTATAGCCCAGAAAGATAAGAGGCCAAAATTGTTACAACAAAGTCCATAATGCAAATTGCAAATGATATCAGTCCAAAGGTCAGAAAAACCAGACACAACAACGGTAGCCAATCCAAAATCCAAGAATCGTAAATCGAGACAGTCCAAGTCAAAATACTCCAGAGATCAGAAACATAGTCAAGAAACCAGGCCAGAATCAAAACCAGAAGATGTGAAAGAATTGAAAACAGCTCTAGGCGTCGTGAAAGATTCTGATTGCAGTGGCGGCAAAAAGGAACTGAGGCATCATGGGTGGACAGAGCATGCACACCACAGGGGAAACATTCTATCAGTCAATTGTTTAAGCTCTAGAATATTCCGAAGAGTCCTGCACAAGCACAGTTTAACCCATTTATGTACCTTCACAGAGATCACAAAGAAGAAGTGTGGGCTCATATCTGACTCCTGGAATCAAGCCCAAACTGTCTAACACAAATGCAAACACATCCACATCCACTACAAATGGTTTAACTGTCAATCTAAGAGGGGATGAAAAGTGTTGCTTCCCTAAAAATCCCCTGGCAACATTGCTGCTAAGCCTGACTGATATTTCACAACCTCAAATGAAATGTTGCAAAAGCCACTAGAAGTGCATACGTCTTGAGATTTGCCTTGATATATATTGAAATATGTTTATATTTCATAACAGATTTGAATCTAAGCAGATAAGTCAGTAGGCGTTTTTATTCATGTGTTCATTTTTCTGTTCAAGTGGCTGTGCTTTAAAATCTGAGGGTCGGTAATCTTAAACACACATACACACAAAGCAGAAGATTGTCATGTTGATCTTTAAGAAAAAGACTAAAACCCAGATCTATAATATTGTCCAGCTGTAGATTTTATGTTACGCATGGACTCTCAAACTGGGCTGTATTTATGCTATTATCATCAGGGCTTGAAAAGTTTACCTTTATTGAACTACAAGACTTGGAATCATCCAACCCGTGTGCCTATTACCCAACTCTAGGAGTTCTGGTCCAAGATCCTAGAATCCATTTAATCCTGTGAATTTTTTCCAGCAATGGACAGCTAGATGCTTTTGGAGGCTCCTAAGTGGAGATGCGGCTAAACCTCAGGGGTGGAATTCATGTGTTGCATGCACAAATTACCAGCTTCAGACCCTGGCATCTCCAGTTTAAAAGGTCTCAGATCACAAGGTTGGGAAAGGCAGATTCTAGAAAGACACTCTCAGTTTAAGCAGACATACTGGGCTTACTGAAAGCTCAGATCAAAACAAAAGGGACAGGGTGGTTCAGAAGAACAGAGTAAAAACGACAACCAAGTTTTTAATTGGCTTTTGAAACTTTTATGGAGTGTTGCAATTCATACCCAGTTTTGCATAGGGCTCCATTCCCAGTTTTGCTTCTGGCCCTGCCCACCACTGCTGCTGTTCCTTGTTTCTACACATCCTTCGGAGACAAAAGAGTTCTCCTGCCTGGGCCAGACAGACGTATGGTCTCATTCAGCATGGCACTTTATGAGCTTGACGGTCCTTCCCTGTTGTTCATGCCTAACTTCTGATACTTAGGAATATAGTTTCTTGAGTTCTGATAGTGTGAAGAAAGACTTGAAATCTGACATATGGTGGGAATGGTTTCAAACTATATTCTCTGCTCTCTGTTTTAATGCAACAAATACTAAGGATGAGCCATTCAGATTCTGTCGACTCCCAGAATTCTCCAAGAATTCCCCAGGCACAATTCGGGGAGTTCCTGCCCACAAACACACGCCTACAGATATCTATAGAATTGTCTGGGCACATATCAACATACATAATCACATATGGGATATTACCTACCCTGCTTGCAACTACAAGGTATACAAGGCCTTCTGCTGACCGGAGAAGAGCAACAGCATCTTGATGGGACAGTCCAACCAAAGATTGACCGTTGATCATTAACAGCTCGTCACCTACTTTCAGCCTACCATCCCTAAGGAAATAAAAGGGACAAGTATTCATAATTTCTAAAACAAATAATTAAAAACATATCCCGCTTCTGAAAGCTTAAGGGGAAGGCATTACATGCTGCTTCCAAAGGTTATGTTCTGCTGTCGGTGCTCAGAGACAACAACACAGTGTGGCTACAGCTAAAATACTTTTCCAGCAATTGATTTCCCCCCTTCAAGCTGAGGAAAATATATGAATAAATGCCAGGGCTTTGTTTGAAAATTCTGTCCCCATCCACCCCCTCTAAGAGGGAACATTTCCAGCCGAATGCAGGAGATATCGTCTGTATTTTGTTAATAATGAATAATCAAGTCACTTCACATTTAGTTAACACTTTCTCTGGAGCATCTCGGAGCACTTTATAAACACTAGCGATATGACTGGTAAGTAGGTCAGCTTTAATATTACATTTTCCACGGAGTAGTTAACTCACATGCCTGCTCTGGAGGAGTTGACTCTGCACAGCTTCCTTCTACTTAAAGTGCCTAGCAGCTTATCATCTTCAAAGGACTGAATGGGACCTTCACTGGCCAACTTCGCTTGGCCTCCTTCTTTTCAGGCAATGGACTATAGTTTCATGCCAAGGCTTATGTGGTGAATGCCTGACCTAATTTCTCATTGTGTGGAGGGAACCCCACAATATGCTACATAAGCAGGATTCCCAGACTGATTTTTTTAAAAAGGCAGACATTTGAAAGAACTGTTCCTCCCCCGGACAGGGAGAAATCCCACAGTCCTCTATGCCCTGCCCTGGCAGTAAAAATTCTGTAACAATCAACCATTATGGCCCTTTTGTGACACCAAAATCAGCAGCCTGAGGTTGCTCACTCCTCCTCTTGCTAGGTTGGCCTTTCTCACTAGTTCTATTTTGTTCTGATTTCAATTATATTCAATTAAATTTCAATTATAAACTACTTCGGAAGGTAATATTTGTGAAAAAGCAGAGTATACACCTAAGAAATAAATCATTTTAGCATTCAACAGTACTTTCAGGCACTGAATTTGTACTTATCAAAATGCCACAAATGGACAGAATAGTCAGATTGACACAACGTGAGAACACAGCAAAACGTACCTGTGAGCACAGCCCCCTTCTTCCACCCGTGCAATAATGATGGCATGAGGAGAACGCTTTGATCCTCGACCTCCAGTGATCTGGATCCCTAGCCCATCCGTTCCTTTCATCATGGTCATCTTCCATATCCGACAGCCTTCTTGCTGGGAGGAGAATTGGCAGAGAGTTCGTGTTCTTTTTATTTAAGAAAGCATATAGTATCTGTATATAGTACACAGTATCTGTATTTTCCAGTCTGCCTGAGACGTAGTATGCATAGCCAATGACTCTCTTTTCTTGGAAAGACAGAAAGGCACATATCCTCAGACCACTGCCAGTAAAGGGGAGCCATGTTTTAATATTATAGTCCACCATTACACCATATGGATTTGGTGACATGGGCTGGTTTTCTGCACATGCTGTCTAAATATTTAAATGCAAATGTTTTTTTTCTGTGTCAAGAGAAACACTGCAGCATAATATTCAGGACTTCATGAGATTAAGAATTAGTGTCTGTTTGTTTTCTCCCCCCACCCAATCCTCTTTCCCATTTTTACTGTAAAGGGCTGTCTTAATTTTTTTAAAAAATAATAATTTGTAAGGCCTTTTCTGTTGTACAAAAGCACAACACAAAAGCAGTAAGTAAACATACTAGCAGGAAGAGTACCCATTTAAGATGTTAGCAGTTTTTATGTACTACTGCAAATATTTCACACTGAACTGCAACAACACACCCCCTCTTGCTTATTTATTTATTTAATTTGATTTGTATCCCACCTTTCTCCAAGAAACAGGGACACAAGGAGACTTAGTTTCATTACAAAACAAGTAAGACAAAAACAAAAGTCATTGCCAATATTGAAATATATAAAATCACATGTCATGTTAAAACAAAATGTGGCAAAATTATTAAAAGACCTTACAGTTAAAATTTGTAACTACAGTTAACAATTCGAATGTCCTTATCAGGGAGCTGCTGAATGGTTTTTTGTACGCTGACTGAAGGATATTAGAGAGGTTGCCAACCTTGCTTGCCTCCATAGGGTATCTCATAGTCTGGAAACGGCCACTGAAAAGGCCCTCTCTTATGTCTTTACCAAACAAACTGGTATTTTTTCAACTCACCGCTCACATTTTAAACCTCTATTACAACACAATGTCTCTTTTAGCTGAACGCAAAATATCAAAACCAGCTTGGAGAGGGAAACTGTCTGAATTTTCAGAAGAGCTTCTCTAGCTCAGAGCAGAGTGGGAACACTGGTATATCAGAACACACTCTCTCTCTCTCTCTCTCTCTCTCTCTCTCTCTCTCTCTCTCCCACCCACACACACACACACACACACACACACACACACTTAAAATGTATCTATCTACTTTTCCTTGAAGTAAAAAAACATGTAGAAAACAGTCTTTCTAACTGCTTGGTTTAAAAAAGAACAATTAATAATGCAGTCTTTTATAGCTCTTGGAATCTATCAGTGAGACCAAATCCAAGCTAGCTACGTGTATAGGACTGCAGCCCATTTACCTTCTGCACTAATTCCCCCTGCTCTGCCTCTGGTTTCTCTTACCACAAAACCTCTGGCTACAGGTTGGATATTCACTTGGGAAAACAGTGCCTTTAATTCCACATATCACATTTCTCAGCCCTTGTATTTTGCCAACGTACAGTATCTTGAAGGAGAGGGTAATTTGTTTGGAAGGGGGTGCAGAGTGTGGAGGTACTATTATCTTAGGGCAGAGGTCCCCAGCCCCTGGTCCGCAGCCCAGTGCTGATCCGTGGCCTGAGCCAGCACAGACCTCCCACCCCACCCCCTGCACGCACTCACCCCCACACATCCCATTTGCACCTGCGAGTGCCACACCACTATTTGCGCACACGAACGAACACATGTGAGCCCAGACAAACGCTGCATTGCTGTTCACGCATGCACACGAGCATGCTTTCGCGCATGCGCAAATGGTGGTGTGGCGCTCATGCAAGAGAGAACGCACACCTGTTTATGCATGCACATGAGCGCTGGGGTGCCCCGTCTTCCCCAGCCGGTCCGCGGACCGAAAAAGTTTGGGGACCGCTGTCTCAGGGTACAATAACAGCTGTTTTTCCTGCACCTGGGAGCAACTTTTCTCCAAAGGAGAAGCACTTGTGGAAAAAGCAAGATGGCTGCCTTTTGACACATCTTCCTTGTCAGCAGCAGGCAGTGCTCTGCAGACAGCAGGCCTCAAGCACTTAGCTAGGCATCGTTTCAAGCAGAAGAAGGGAGCATTTGCAATAACTGAACATTACAGTGTGCAGAAAAAAGATGTTCCAGTGCTAGGTGGCACTTTCCTGCTCAACTTTTTTTAAAAAAGGATTATCGTGAAACAGGGTCACGTGCTGCAGTATTTTGACATTCTGGCCTCCTTTAGATGACTCCATTCATATATCCCCATACGTTTTGAGACCAAAGAGTTTATTATAAGAAGGTAAAAAGTTGTCCTAAACCAGGTCAGTCTATCTGGCCATGTAGCCCAGTCAGGGGTAGTGTAAGATATTTTGTTAACTGGGGCAAAAAAAGGACAAACTTTGCCTTTTTCCTTCAACACTGACAACAGCAGATATCATCCCCCATCACATCCAAAGACAGAAGGCTGGCTTGAGAGACAGGGGCTTAAAGAAAGCTATGTGTCACCCAGCTCTGTTTTCTAGCCTCTTGCTGACACATCCCACCATCTGCAACTTAAAAGCAAAATGTGTGGCTTATATACCGCCCCGCAGCACCCAAAGCACTCTCTGGGAAGCTTGCAATTTAATTATGCAGGCAATACATTGTGTGTGCCCCCAGCAAGCTGGGCACTCAAATTACTGACCTCAGAAGGAGGGAAAGAAGAGTGAACCTCGAGCCAGCTACCTGGGAATGAGCCTGGGGCATAGGCAGAGTTTTAGCTGCACTACTGCAGTTTAACCACTCAGCCATGAGGTAACCACCTCCTTTTGCCCAACAGTAGGGGTGGCCCTGAGTCCAGTATTGACTGCTCTGCTTAACAGCACCTCTCCAGGAACTCAGGCAAGAAGGTCTTCTGCATCACCACAAGGGACAAAGAGTTATCTTAACTGATTTATTGCTAAGACTATTTCTTATCATCAAAGCCAAACTTGTCCCAAAAATATTTACAATTATTGCAGAAATCAGGTTAATTTTGAAGAGACAGTCTTCCTTCACTGTGAAATCAGACTTGAAGATTAAGAATGTGCTTTATGCTCTGAAGACCAATTGCATAACAAGTTAAGTTGCAAACTCAGTGAGGCCACAAAAGCTTCTGCTGTGACAATCACACACAATCAGCCCTTAAGGAATTCCCTCTTGTAATGACAGTTATCTGTGACATATAGTTTAAACCTTAGTTGTGAAGGTTTTGTTTCTAATCAGCTCCCACATATCATACCTATGGTGGGCCACAAAGGAAGACTAGATACTCTGTGGAAAGTTGATTGTTAAGCGAATCAAGATAGCCCCTTGCTTTCATGCATAGGTAACCTACACGTGACATGGATGGATGGATGGAGGGATGGAGGGATGGATGGAAACTAATCCTAGAATGGATGGATGGATGGACGGATGGATGGAAACTGATCCTTGACTATACAGAGTCCTGAAGACCCTTATCCTTGCCTCTAGGGGCAGAACGAAATGCATAAATGCTCTCCAGCATGATGTGGTAGTCTGTCCTCTAACTCAGAAAACTCAAAACAAAAACATATCAGCACAGCATAGTGGTAATGCTTATATGACATCAGCATGGATGGATGGATGGACGGATGGATGGAAACTGATCCTTGACTATACAGAGTCCTGAAGACCCTTATCCTTGCCTCTAGGGGCAGAACGAAATGCATAAATGCTCTCCAGCATGATGTGGTAGTCTGTCCTCTAACTCAGAAAACTCAAAACAAAAACATATCAGCACAGCATAGTGGTAATGCTTATATGACATCAGCTTTATCTCATATTTCAGAATGGAGTTCTCCAACGATTTCCAAAAATAGTGGCCACCTTTGCCCTAGGTGACAAGTGAAACACACAGAAAAATTAATTACCACCTAATCAGCTAACCTTTTGGGGACGAATCCACTCACCTTTAGCTACTACACAAACACAATAAGAGAAATGTGAATTCACTCACTGTGACATTGCATTGAGGAGCTCACGTTTCCCTGGATCTGTTCACATTAACTGGCAACACAGAGAGGAGGAAATTGGCTAAACAGCCTTGTCTGCATCTTGTTAATGTACAGGGCTTGAAAAATCCACTCGTCTGTGACAAGTGAAAAAAACGCTGCTCGAGGAGCCAGAGCTCCCACAGGGCTTGAAAAATCCACTTGTCTGTGACAAGTGAAAAAACGCTGCTCGAGGAGCCATAGCTCCCGCCCTCCTTACCCTCAGTTCCTCTCTCTCCCTCTCTCTGATCCTGCAGTCCTTCACTCCCCCTTCCCATTGGGGAAGGAAAAACAGCCCTCTTCTCGCGAGAAGAGAGTTTGAGCGGCACATAGATATATAGCTCTGCAGGAGAATGTAGAGTAGTCCCATGCTAGAGAATATGGAGATTCCCTGCTCCCAATTTCAACCGAACGACCTGGCTCCTTAAAGAGGCCAGGTGCTTTTGCTTTCAGTTTTATTTTTGCTGGAGACATTCAAAAGAAAGGCATTCAAAATACAAGCTTCATGACCCCACAGGTATGCAGGTAATAAAGCAACCCAAGTCTGAGGGTATATTTATTTTGGGTTTGTAAGGATTGTTATGTAGAAAGTGCCTAGTTTAAATTTAAATTTAAGTTTAAACATAAATTATAAGGCTATAGTCCTGTCATGCTGACTGGTGAAATTTTTGACTAACTTGTGAGACATTCTAAAATTTTTCAAGCCTGTTAATGTAAGTCTGCAGGAGCATGGTTACAGGAGAACTATCTTAATAAGCTGTAGACAAGGGTTGAATGGCAATTTCCTCCTATCAGTTCTTTCTTTTTCATGTGTTTCTTGTGTTCTAGATGCCACAGCACTGGCAACAAGCTTTTCTTAAAGTAAGTAAATACGGAAATTGCATACTTTGGAGTATCAGCCTCTTTGCTCCCACCCCCAGCACTGCACCACTCTGCTAACTAAAGCACCTTTTTACATCAGTTCA